TGAGATGGAAGAAGGATGAAAGAAGCATTGCAATCATGCTTCGCTTCTTAGGCTTTCGCCTGTATCATAAAGAGAGTGTCAGCTTGCATAGTGAAGTCTTGACTTCAAATTTAGAATCGAGCCAGGTTTGAGCCATCTTTCTAAAGTACACCGACGGGTTTTATATGTCTCTCTTATTTCGCGGATTTATTGTCGTACTTTTTGTCTTTTTCATCCCACAAGTTCTGTCTTAGAAAGAACAAGAGGAAGTTTTGAGTGATTAGCTAAGTCCGATTTGTTTTTTTTACAGCTTAGAAGCTGAAATAGATTTTTACCGCATTTTGCGGGATTCTCATAATCGTAGACCGCAACAAGTTTGCCCTTCTTCCTTTTTGAATCAAGCCTTCTAATTATTTTAAATGCTTTTAGAATGCTGTTAAATGCTTTAAGGATGCTGTTAAAGTTCGACTTTATAGGTTTAATATAATTTCTATAGAAGTGCAGATGTTTAAATCAATTCTAACTCTTTCGCCGTTCGATGTCAGATGCTCTCTTTTTTTCTCACTTTTTCTTGTAAATAACTTTTTAACCTCTTCTTGAATAGGCGACTTTATTTGTATATATGTGTAAAATATTCTTGTATGCCACATTTTCATGTAATTTCCTTTGATCCTTGTTTCAAACGTTTAAGCATTGCATCATTTTCAGTTGATCAGTGATGATAAATGTACACTGCACTCGTTGTAAGAGTAAATCATCGGTATCAATCCGCTTGATATCTGTCTAGTTTATGTCGAGTGATTCTTTGGGGTAGGACTTATTTATTTCCTGGTACTCACCTTACTCGGTCAGCAGTGATCATTTAAGTGGTTGTGTTGTGTAGTACATAAGTTTGTTCAGGATATTGGTCAAGTCCTACACCGCGACAGCATGGCTCCCGTCACGGTCAGTGTGTAGTTCTAACATATTCCAAAAAAGACGACTTTAACTCTTATCAACATAAGATTGGGATTTGAGTAGAAATGCACCTTTCTGTATTTCGAAGTTATTCTGAGAAAGAAGCAATTTCATCTTTTTGAAGTATACTTTGACTTCTATTTCAGAGGAGGCAGGAAAGACTTATGTTGATGGCGCTAAACGTATGTTTTTGAAACAAACTTAGATTAGCTTTTGAAGATTCTAACCACTCATTGTTCAATTTCAGCAGATGAGTTGGATTTCAGTAAAAGTAGCAAAAAATCCGTGGGTAGTAGGTCGAGTAGGCTTGATTAGAAAAGGTTAATATGGCGTACATACAGTGGACCAGCCTTACTTACTGAGACGTTCAAAATGAAAGTCCTTATTTCTCATACTCTTATCAAAGTTACACTTCACCAAAAAATGAAACTGGAAATTGGATTTCATTTCAATGAAATTCTGCGGTAAGCGGTTGTAGCAGCACTCAGTTGAAACGTTGATAATATGTGATCTTACAACAAACAAAAATAAAAAAAAATTTCCCCTTCTCATTTACTTCATGCGCGATGGACAAATATCAGAAATAGTCGCAAAATGAAATTTCAAGTGCAGGCGTCTTGTACAAATTAAGAAGAAGGCGGATGTAGCTTTCCGTAGTTGAAATCTTCAAGTACAATAATGTTTGTAGGAAACTTTGAATTGAAATTATAGAATATAAATAAGGGCAGCGTTTTCTTTCTCCTATACCGGAAAATCTCTTCTTTGGAAATATGAACTTACGTTTTTTTTTTCTATCACCAGTGCTTACTCTAGGCTCGCCGCGCAGAAGCACGGAAGATGAAAGCAGCAAGACTGCGCGAGGAAGCAAACCTAGTGAAGTCGTCAGAAACTGTGAAACAAACAGATGATCCATCGAAGCCGACGTGTTTCTTTGATGAATCACTTCTAGCATGCGATATATGTCTGGAGATTATGCACAATGCGATGAAGTGGGTTGACTGTATTTGAATTGAAATTCTGAACAAGTTAGTGCATTTTCAGTGTCTCTCCTTGTAATCATAAGTTCTGTGCTGGTTGTATATACGAATGGAATTCGTTGAATACAAAATGCCCAAAGGTAGCAGTTAGATTTCGTTTTGCATTTTTACTGTTTTCAAATCTTTAATTGTGCAAATTTGCAGTGCCGTTGGAGCGCCGCTGATATCACACGCGATGCCACTTTAAACTCAATAATAGAGCAGTACCTTATAGCTTTTCCAGGTAAGCTCCATACATTTTCTTAAAGTATCCATTCTTTCTGAAGCAAATCTTAATCATGCTTCTATAGAAAAACGGCGAGATAAGGCACAACTAATCGAATTAGATGAACGAGAGTTGAATCATTTGGAACAGTGGGAAAGAAAACGAGATTCTGATGAAGGAGATTACGATTATGATATGGAAGATCAGTTTTTTGAAGTGGGTCACCTTTTCTTAGTTTAACAACTCAGAGGCTGTTTGAGAACTCAATGTATAGGATATTGGAAGTGCATAGTCAGTAGTTTTTATCCTTTGTGCCATCCCAATACTTTAGAGTGACGATTCCGACACTTTTGAGGTCCAGGGTGATCAGCTCGAAAGTGATGATGATGTCCTAGAATATTCAAATTCGGATCGATGGAGCGATCGAGATATGTTAGGAAGCTTTGATGAAGATGAGGATGAGAATGACTCCGATATCCAGTGAATCATCCATTCTTTGTTTTTCCTGTTGAAATGTTCATTTCATGATTTTTGCCAATTACAGTGTTACTATTTCCAGACACGAATATATTTCGCGAAGGAATTTGGAGAAAGCACGAATGGAGAGGTTACGACGTGAAAAACAGGAACGTGATAGGCTAAAAGAGCTTGAAGCTGAACGAAGTCGTAAGACGAGCGCCAAATCCAAGAAGGAAAAGTCTCGTGATCGCCGTTGTGGCACGGGAGGAGGAAATGGTGCGGCTTATTTGTAAATATA